TGACCGATGAGTACAATTGTTTGCACCGTGCGAGAAATCGAACCCGCGACCATCGGATGTAAAGCGGTGTGACCACCGAGGCAGTCGAAATATATAAATAATCTTATGAATTTAATTTATTCTAATTTGTTTGTGTGCGCGGGGTGAGGTGTACGGTGCTCCCCTGCCTCCACCGTTGCTGGAGCTTGCATGTATGGAGCATTGCGAATATAAAATATCTAGATTAGTAAATTCATAATTGATAGACCGTTACGGTATCTATATATATTCGGATTAAAATAAGTATCGCAGTAAGGACCAGTATATAAAGTGATCAACACAATTAATTGATTTTTGAAATATATATACAGAGCCAAAAAGTCTTTGTGTATTCAAAAAATATCTAATTTGTTTGTGTGCGCGGGGTGCGGTGTACGGTGCAGGGGGGACCCTGCCTCCACCGTTGCTGGAGCTTGCATGTATGGAGCATTGCGAATATAAAATATCTACATTAGTAAATTAATAAATTCATAATTGATAGACCGTTACGGTATCTATATATATTCGGATGAAAATAAGTATCGCAGTAAGGACGAGTATATAAAGTGATCAACATAATTAATTGATTTTTGGAATATATTCAGAGCCAAAAAGTCTTTGTGTATACCAAAAATTTAGCCGTTCGGAGCCATTCAGTCACGAATTATTAGTAAAAAAAGTGTCGAGTATATCGTACTATCGACGAATATATATGGCCGCATCGCAAAATAGAATGCGACGTTGCCATACCGCCTGAGATATACGCGATAGGAGTCAAGTTATTCAGTGCAAAAGGTGGAATCAGCAAGTGTTTAGGTTGTGGCGTGATCAACAAAGTGCCCAAAGAGGTGTTTATATATATATAATAAGAAGAACATAGAAATACATGCTATTTTCTCTTAGCGACTTATTTCAAAACGAAGATTAACGTTAGCAATAATTATAGTGTAGACTGTAGATGAATAGAGTGGTGGATAAATAATCCGAAGCATTTTCTTTTTTGTAATCTTTGTTATCATTTTCTCTGTTATCAATCCTCTAAAATAAGATGAAACTGATGAAATTATTCTTATCATACTTCTAGGATTAACCTCAATATTAATGAGTGTCGGTATCTTATCTGCTTATTAAATGAGATATTTACTCAAGATGTTAAGAATAATAATACATTAATTAATTAAATGAAGTGCTAAACCGACGCGGCGACGTATCGAAACCCTGTCCTAAGTCTTAATGCTTTATATGTCTGTGTATGAAAATTAGTTCAATAGTTATTTAAAATTATATGTAGTTACAAATATCTCACAATAGTAGGCAGTGTTGGGGTGTAACAGCTAATGATTCTATAAGTATTTAGGTACAATTTGATAACTCTTCTTATCAATGTCAATAGACAAATGTACGGACCTATACATTGTAATTAAAATATATACATTGTAACAGTTTAATACATATGTAATTCTAAATAAAGGGGAAGATCATCAAATTTCATATCAATCAATTGATTAGCACGTACTTTGATAAAATAATTAGCCAAGTCATTATCAAAACCTGGAATCTATATTAACCAACACTAAGACTATCCAGGTTAATCCTACTACCTAGTTGGTTTCACTTACAAGTTACCTAGCTTGTCAAGTAAAAACTTATGTAATTATATAATAATAATTAATAAAACCATTTGATCTTTAGGACGCTAAATAAACAAGCGAAAAGAAAGTCTAGGCAGATTAATATATTATAATTAGTAACAGTCTATTAGAGGCCAATAAATAGAGACGTTTTTCTATCGGTTATCTAATAGCGACATATATATTGAAATCTTTAAATTTCAATTAAAAATTATTTAGAGTAAATTATTAGATAACTTATCTACGTACAAAATATTGTGAATTCAGTTTCGACTATCTAGGTACTAAGTATATAAAAGTACATATACATATATATGTCATTTACACATAAATGCTTATTTATTGAGTGTTTATTGTCATGTATGACGAATGTCGTAGTTAAATAATTACTTACTTACGCATATTTTATACACGCAAAATAACTTAATGTCAATAACAATATTATATCATTATATCACTTTTTTTTTAATCTGAAGGTTTACTTTCACTGCGGATGGACTCAGTTTTTATTTATTGTTATAGATAAATTCTCATGGCACTGGCCACAAGGCAAGAGCTTATTGTGAATTCCACCCACATCACAGCACGTGCCTTTGACTTAATTGTTTAAAAACACATTTTTCTTGGTTACAGATCACTCAAGTTTATGAAAAACAAACTGTTCTTCTTTTTTATCAAAAAAAAGGACCAAGTAGAAGCAGAAAAAAAGCTTTACATGTATATAAAATACATACCCAGTTTAGTAAAATTTATATATTATTATTTATAGAATATTATTTATCTATGGCACTATATTTTGATGTCTCAAAATATATTTATAGCTAGTTGTTCCCGCGACTTCGTCCGCGTGGAATTTAACTTTATTTTACTAAAATAAAAGATATTTTCTAAATTAAAATTAGCCTAAGTTTCTCCTTATTACATCACCTACCTCCCAAAAAAGTCCCGTCTAAGTCGGTCCAGCCATTTCTGAGATTAGCCGGGACAAACAGACCGACCGACAGACAGACAAAAATTGTAAAAAATGTTATTTTATATTCATATGCTTGTAATAAAAAACGGTTATTTCAATATTACAAACAAACACTCCAATTTTATTTATATGTAGATATAGAAGTAGGTATATATATATATATATATATATATAAAATTTAATACCTAAATCTTTAACATGGATATTCAATTTTGATATTATAAAAATCCTTTTATTTTTATACAATAGTATGTTAAGGAACTGAACATTCATTGTTTTGTAGGTACTTTTGATAGGGTCAATGTTAAGGACGCATTTGACTACTTAACATTCAAGCTGACGATCTATCTCATGGAAAGTATTACCCGTCACGTTACTTATAGAACTACCACTACTGTTACAGAATACACTGAGCTTGTAGCTGATAGAATGAGTGGACTGTATGTGTGATGTAAATTAAACAATGGATAGAAAATGGTAAATACTTATAATGAAGATAGGTACGTGTACAAACGATTGTAGACAAAAAGTGATAATAAAAATATATGACAATTCTAAAAGAAAATACATTTAAAATTGGTAGAAAAAGAGTGCAAAGAGTTTGCAACAGAGCTGTATACCTAGACTACACATATTTGCTATTCTTATGAACGAGAACGAAGTACGAGTAGATGACCTACACAAAGTAAAAGTTTTACTCCTTATTCAAATTTTTCCTGTTATATACTAATACAACTGTTTATGATTGCAGAGTATTGAAATTCAAAATATATTTCATAACGCTTATATTTTTGCTTAATTATTACCAGTTATATTGCGTTATTGCTCAAGCTTACACTATACCTGCCTATAATATAATTAAACTATACTAAGATTGTAGTGTCATAAGATGCCTCTGATATTAAACCATTATACCGGAACCGTAAGAATAATAAATGACCCCGGAACGACTATGCTACTTGGCAATAAAATGACGCTCTCGGTCGGTCACAGTTTAGTACATTACCTTACTTTCCAATGGTCACAGGTTTGATTCCCGAACTACATAAACTTCTACTTGTGCATCTGTTTGAATAGGTCAAGGCATTTTCTACGTATTAAAAAAACTAAGCGTGACTATTACTTGCCTAGAGTTCTCTGTGTATAAAAATAAATGTGAGACAGGACTCATGCAGACAACTTTGTAAAGTCTTCTCTTCTTGAAAATATCCTCTGCTCTATTGCATATTTTACTTATTGAAAGAAAATCAGACATTTGTTATGTACATACATATCTACCGAACGAGTTGTATCCTTGAGAGTAGTTTTTTATATTAAAAGTAAGTATGTTTGTTTTCACCTCGTAAAATTGAATAAATTTAATGTAGACAATGTTGAAGGTAATATTTTTTCAGTTCTACGACCCATGTGTACTATATTATACATGTGGGTTACATTATAGATTTAACTATATAATAAATCAGTGTTACACTTTCTTCAGTGTTGCTAGCGACCATGTCCTACGGGTTTTGGAGGCGTCCGTAACTTTTTTTTTACCTGGAACATATACTTAGAGTCCTTCTGGCTTAGTGTCCTATGAGAACTGTCAGATTTATACCAGCTAAGCACCTATTACTATTCATCCATGACGAAGGGATGGGAATGTTTTCGCATTCGCCTGATATATCCCAAGCAAACCGCATTACGGCATTGAGATAAAATTCATTACCCATATTATAAAACATTCAAAACCTACAAATTCTTTATTTATTTATTAAAAAGAAGTATTGGAACATAAGTTATGATTTGATATTGATTATTATAGATAATCAATATCATTACAAGACTAAAAGATAGATATAGTTGAGATTACAGGTACCCAATTATAGGTAGTGTAATTAAAGACCTAAGTCAGCGCATGTAATAGGTACAATGTGGTCGATTTCTAGTTTCATCTGTTTCTATTAGTTATCTATAGTTCAGTCACCCTGCACAAGCCCATGTAATCATATTCTATTGCATTTGTTCCAAATAAAATGCTAAGTTGTAATTCACAATACCTATTACAAAAAAACCTAATAATTGTTATTGCAATGTACAAGATACTATACGTTTTTTGTGTTCATTAGGTAATCTATAATTACTTATTTATTTCGACTAAAATTTAATATAAGTATAATGTATTTTATATATATATTAGTAATAATATTTCTTACCAAAGGCCTTGTCAATTTAAAACAGATAATCACTATATTTTGTATTTCAATTGTTGTTCACATGCACAACCGAAACCTTCACAGCACGTTCACGGCACAAAGTATATCACAGAACTGATGAATACTCATATAACAAGCTACTACTTAATAAAAAATGTTATTGATAAATGTAAATACACTAACCTCACCCGCGTTGTGGAAACTCGCGCGCCGGCGAAAAGTGGCGGGAAATCGAACGTGTCTCGAGTGAGAGGTGCAGGCAAGTGTGCGCGCGCGCGTCATCCCGCCAGTTTTATAGATACGATAAGGTGCAGCCGCTTTGTTCTCCCGAGTTGACAAGCGCATGAAGGGTTGGAAGCCTAAGAGAAAATATCTACAGCACTGAGGATTGCGTAATATTTTTCAAGTAATGTTCATTCTTGGAAGTTATAACACATAGAATATAAAAACGACAGCCAATGATCAATGTCCTCTATATTACTGTTAAAACCATGCAGTGATAGTTCATATTTAGTTTCACTAATCTGTCATATACCTACCTAACAGAGGACTACAGCTTTTTATTTTTGTAAAGTAATATAGCTGTTTTTGCGACATCCTTTTGGCCTATGTTTTAATCCTGTGTGTATTCCTCAGGTTCTTTTTCTTTTCTTTTTCTTTTTTTTATATAATTTTTTGTAAATATTACACTTTTTTACTCTACTTATTATACATTACCTATAATACCCTAATTATACATTCTATAGAGGACTAGAGCTCAAACTTGCACTGTACTGACTGTGCTGTGATCACACCACTTAATGGGTTTTGATAATAAATAGAAAAATACGTAGATATACTTTATAAGGAATATTTAATTCGCTGAAATTCAAGTCCAGTTCAGGGGAAGGATATGTTTGTAATAGGGGCCGGAGCTTGCATCAGTTCATCAGTTCAATCTCTACGCGGTCTCTTCAGAATCACATTAAATTTCTATCTGAATTACTATAATAAACCATGATAATTTTCTTTCTCACTTAACTTAGATTCAGAACAAAGTACATGTGCAATATATATTCTTTATTCCAAATTATTTATGACTAACGGATGGATTAGGTTAGTTCAAAGTACATCGAGCATTTATCTATGTATGTATCATGTTTTTAACTACTATTTGTGAATCATTCATTATACTAAATATAATTATAGAGAAACAAAAGTATATATTATTTCAGTTTCTATAAGCAACAGCAAAGTAGCTGACCCATCACCCAACTGATAGCAAATAGCAACCGTCGCCTACAAACATAAACAGCACTACCATCACGTCTTAATCTGCCGCCTATATATGTAGGTATATTTTTTAGATAATATATGTATTTGCATGCATTATAATATGATTTTTATTAACTCGTAATATTTCGACAATTAGTTTATTAAGAAATTAAATACTTTTCAGCAAGAAATAGTGATGCGCGGTATTTCTTACCATGACCTTCGCCGTCCAGGAATTTACTTCTGCATGTTCCTGTTCATCGTACGAGCTACATTTCAAAATCTTTCACATTGCAGGCCATGAATGATTTGCCATAAAAACCAACGCTACCAAATTCATATATAAATCTAATTTACGCTAATATCTTTACCAAAACCAAATTAATACTTTATCGATTTTCAAAATTAAATACTTTTTTTCTTACCTACTCATCTGAATATTCACTGTTGATTTGTATTATATTTAAATGTATATGTATGTATGTATAGTTATATTTATAAATATTGTTTATATGTGTAATTATTTATTTAACGTTATGTATTATATAATTATTATGGACTCGTTTAATCAGAATCATAGATTTTTGTTCATTGTTATTTTTAATTTATATCTATATATAAAATGCAGCGCTAACATAAATCTCTGATTGCCCTATGGTTGACTAGGAGAAAATACCTAAAGCTGTTAAGTAGCCAGGTACAACTAGATATATCTATGTATTTGTGCATTAAAGTTTTAATAAACAAATTTCTCTCATCATTTCTTACTCAAAAGAAAACAATTCGTCGTCGAAAACCACAGTGGACTCATCATATCCGAGTCAATAAACTTTACTCTACCTAGACGTGTTCTAGAGTGAAGACCGCGTCAGCAAAAGTAGTCTAGGGCAACTTGTGATCGTGTGGAGTAATCATATAATAGGCACATATGGCACTGCACCGGATATATTAGTTTTCTATTTTTTTAAGTCGTGGTGTACTATTTCGCAATATTTTATTTATTGAATATTAAGCTCTTAATTATAATTATTACTGTTTATTACATAAAAAAGGAATTTATCATTTACAGACTGTCAGGTTAAGTTAGTCCAGAAATCGGTAATGTGTTAAGTACGTAATCAGTAATATGGTGGTCCACAAACTGGCAAAAATTCTTACAATTATTATTTTAGATTCTATTGGGTTAATAAAATCCTCCAATAGTTTTTCTCATATCTTATCTTTGACGATCTCGATGGTCTAGTAGTTTAGCACACCGCTGCACCGCTTTACTTTAGATGGTTGCGGGTTCGACTCCTCGCACGGCACAGACATTTATATTCATGAGAATAGTTGATTGTATGGGTCTGGGTGTTTTCTATGTATAATATGTATGTATTTTTATCAGTTATCATCAGTACATGTCTTACTACTATATCTTATGGTACTTAAAATGAAAACAAGCTAAACAGCACCGTTGCAATTACAAAAAACACTGACGCCTATCGAATATCTATATATAAGTGTCGTTGTCACTCTTATAGATACATCCGTATTCCCACCCAGTCCTATCATTAGCATTATCATCTAACCCTTTAAACCGGAAGACAAAATGCAAGCAGCCGACAGTAATATTGTAGAATGTTTAATTACAAGTTAACTAACTTATTTATCACAAATATAATTAGATACTTGTTTACTACTGATATTGTATCAATGTCGTGATTAATTAACCATTTTAACGTAATGTATCAACAAGCATAGATGCAATAATCACTAACTCTACTTAGTAGTAAGTACCTATTATTTAATGACAGTCTTGTATTCTTTTTAAATTAACTTAATTTGTCATTGAAATGGTTGACTTTGTAAAATGTCATCTGTTAGGTACCTCGGTCTCACGTATTTCAACTACTAAACAGCTTGCTTTATATGTTTTAGTTATAGCTACCCTCGAACGATAACTGCAAGTTCAAGATACGAGACATGACATCTTAGTACCTCTGGATTGACAACGCATGATACACACCACTCGATAACGTGATGTGCCAACAAATAAACAAACATCTATCCATTTTCTTCCACATTAGTCTACAACAGTCCAGAAAATACTAAGATTGTTGACTACATTTAATATTAAACAAAGAGATGTGATGGTGCTTTTAGCACGAACAGTCTAACAAAAAGTTTTAAAACTAAAATATTCGGAATTATTACTTGTTTTCCCGTTTTCCGTTTTATGCTACAAACACATTTATCATTAAGATGTGAGATCATATGATAATGTCTATTGTTTTGGATGAAATAACTGAAATAAACGAAAGTAAGTAAATACGATTTAAATATGACATGTTGCATTAAAAATAATCAGGGACGGTTATGAAATAATATTTTTATTCTTATGTTATATATTTATTGGCCTTCGTCAACTTCGGTTCCCGTGGCTCCGCTACCATCATCCTCCGAGTTCTCTTCATCGCTACTTCCATCCTGAACAAAAAATAAAAATGTCTTCAAAATCCAATACTGAGGTCATATGGGTTAGTATTGCATTAGAATATATACTCATAGAAATAAACTATATTTAAATAAACTCACACATGTTTGTTAATATTTAACAACCATTTGGTCTAGTACAAAGTGATCTTTGGTACAATATTACTATTATAAAAAACAAAACTTTCAAAATATTAACCTCAAATTTCATTTCAGCAGTATAATTCGATTTCACCATCTGTTTAAGGTATTCGAACATGTGGTCGCGACACGTCTCCTCGCCTTTGGGCGGCAGCCAGCCGCGCTTAGGATGACAGAGATATCCAGGTGATGGTTCTTTTGCCAATAACTCTTCAACTTCTGGTAATTTAATATCACATAACTGCAAAAATAAATTTACAAATGATAAGTTTCATGTATTGCAAGATGAGCCCGCGACTTCATATCCGTGCGCTGTCATAGTCATAATAACAATAGTTTATAACGTTTTTGTTTATTGACCTATTGGCATAAGACTAATAACTTAGTACATTAATGAAAATACACAAATCTGTTTAGCTCTGTCTAAGATTTGAGCTCAAAACGCACTGACAAAGAGACAAATATTCTTAAAATATTTCCTTTTGGATTGTTAAAAAATTGATAAATCAATCCATCATCAATCCATCAGTAATCGTTTTCCCATATATATCCCATGTACAGATAACAATCAGTTACATGTATAGTTGTATTGGGTACATGTTTTATTATTATGTGTATAAAAGAGGTATTTTGCCTGTATTGGGCAACATACAGGCAAAATACCTCTTACCTTACCTTCTTAGAAGGAAAGAACACAAAGGGAATGAAGATATAAGTAGAAAAATCATCCATCACCTACCATAGGATTACCAAGTTATCTTTAGCTTGCTAATCAAATAATCAGTTATAGTTCGGGTATCAAACGATCCCTATGATGTTGTTTTATATATTAATAATAATGCATTTATTTAACCTGATAATATACTTGACGCTGAGCTGGCGGTACCCCAGGTCGGAAATAAACAGCAGCTTCCGATATTTCCTCAGTCCCACTGTTGGGATCATTGACTCTTCGCCGTTTCTGGGCGTTACGTACGCGGTCTGCTCGTTTGTAATGTGCGTACTCACGTGTCATAACCACAGAGTGTACGCCCACTGGAAACATTAAATTCTACTTGAAGTAAAAACAAACAAATTGTATTTACATAATATATATAGAAAATACCCAGACCAATACAAACAATGATACTCATATAGTCAATACAAATGTTTGTAATGTGCAATGTCGTGGAATGGACACAGAAATCATCAGAAGTACGGCACATCGCTATACTTCCGATGGTTGCGATTTTACTATAAATCGATGCAACAGAGACCTCGTCGTATGATTGACGAATATAACATCATTATATAGTATAAAATGAAGCCGTTGTCGCTGTCTGTCCCTATGTATGCTTAAATCTTTAAAACTAAGCAACGGGTTTTAAAGCGGTTTATTTTAATAGACAAGAGTGGTTCTAGAGGAAGTTTATATAATGATATTTGGATTTTTTTAGAACCCTATTATAACGATCCCCGAGACCGGGACTGCACAATTTGAAATTATACACAGCATTACATCAATCCCCTACATAATTTAGGATACCTTAATCCATATGAAAAAAGATAGTAAACATCTACGAGTATAATGCCCAAATGCAAGCCAACTTTTATTAACAAAATTTGGCTTATAATCCACATTTCCTAGTACATTGTAGGCTACAAACAGCAATCTCACAGTTCCGAGTATATGTAGGCATTTAACACTACGTCTCCATTCTTAATTCAATATACACCTTTATAGAATCTAATCTGGTACCACACTTATGTTAAATCACATATAATAGAAATAGATTATTTATCATTAATTTAAAAGATCTTTTACCTGTATGCCGTACTCTAAAATCTAATGACTGGTACATCCGGGCAGCAGGGTCTTTGCGGGGATCGTATCCATACTTCACCCACAGCATTTTCCAAGGGCCAGATTTCATATAAAATGCCAAACACGGCAAAATTATTTTCAATGAAGGTGTCCTAACTTTGCTGTGGTATTTAATTAAATTCATTGACCAAATAGGTCTTTCCTCAAACATCTGAAAATGTAGTATATTTTATTGAAAATAGATCAATCTCAAGACAATTCACACAGCGGCATCTAGTCCCATAGTCATGTTATGGATACTAGACAAATTATATAAAAGCATAGAAAACTCCCAGATTAATAGGAACCAACATACTCCTGAATATAAATGTTTGTACCGTGCAAGGAATCGAACCTGTGACCATCTGAATTTAGGCAATGTGCTAGACCATTAGACTGCCAAGACCATATTATTAAGGTATATAGATATTTCAATAGATCAAATTATTATATAAAAATAACAAGTAAACTTTAGGTGGGGTATTATTTTGTTTAGATATATATTGTGCACCTGCCTGTGCTACCAGCATATGCTAACTAGGCATCAATTAGAGTTTACAGAAAAAGCAAAATATTGTGTTTCTAAAAAAATTTCCAAACATACCTTTTGAATAAGTTCATATTCATTTTGTATTAAAGGATAAACTAACATTCTTTCAATTTTCTGTTTTAAATAAAATTCTTGTGGGTCTGTAGGTAAATTGTCAATTAGATTGAAGGGTATACCAGCTGTGGGCATACCTCTCTCCAGTCTCAATCTATAATGAAGGTTATCTTCATTATCTGAATTTGACTTCTTTTCTTGATACCGTTTGTCTGTGTACATATAGCCTATTGGTTTATCAGATCTTGTAAAGTGTGATGGAACAATAAATAGTTCTGCAGGTTCTCTGCAAATAAAAAAAAAGCTGTTCATATTGTATAATATTACATAACTAATTACTTATTAGAATAAAATGCATTATAAATGGCAAGATAGAACAGAAGAAGTGAAGAAGCATTGGAAGTGCCAATAAAATTATCTTTAGAAATAAATAAGTCATAGTAATAAATAAGTTATTTTTTAATAAATATAATAAATAAATAGGCTATTTGTTTACTTTACACCATTGCATGATTAAAACAATGTGCAGATACTTACGACATGAAACTAATTTCATCTAAGCCTGTTGGTAGCAACTTTTCCAACAGGCATTGCCCTTGACTAGACCCCGGGTTTTCCTTAACAGGAAGATACTGGAAGTCACACATAGCTACAAATTTAGAACAGACATCTTTATTTTTACATTTAATACATATATTTCAATATAAAAAAATATATTGTCAGTTTTAAACATACTTTATTTTCTAGAATAAAATAATAAAGTGATTTTATTACATAACAGCATTGTAATTTGCTAAATATCAATTGTAAAGAAAGTAGCCTACATATAGTTGTGGAGAGTCAAATATTATTAATATTATAATTAAATATAATGACTTAACTATATGTTATTTATTAATTTGCAATACAAAAAATTAATATAAAGTATTACTAACATTCAAATTTGAAGATTTTGCTCACTCTTCCAACAATTGTAGCAGACACAAGTTCTTTCTTTATTTCATTGTTTTTATTAGTTGTTTTCACTTTAACTTTTATCACAACACCAGCTGTAGGCTTAGCATCTGCATATATTTTTTTACATAAGGATTGTCTGGCTGAAAGCACAAGCCTAGACGTTTCTTATTTGGATGTGAATAGACCTGAATACAATAACATAAATACATAATGTATATCTTAAGAAAAGCAACAAAACCTATTACTATTATAATATTGTTTTATATATACCATAAAATTATATGTGTTAAGATCCAGTTAACAATATAGACAATGTCTATTATAATATTAGTTTTATAACACAAAATAACATACTATCATCCAACTTCCCATAGTTTTACAAGTTCATGATGAGACGTTTGTATTTGAATTTTAACCAGTTACACAGGTATTCAATGACTTACTGCACCACAACAGTTTATACTGCATGTATTATATATTTAATATATATATTGGTATAATTTTAGTTTAGTTTCAGCTGTCATAATGTCAGGGTATGATCAAGCTTAAAAGTTGATAGCAAGTAAGTGCGAAACCTAGCCTGCTTTTCGGCTGGAGAGGACCACAAAATCCGCTCCTCCAAAGTTGCCGGTCCCAAGCCCGGATAAATAGCGAGGGTCTTTGTATACAGTATATGTATGTATATTATAAAATAACTTACAAGTAGTGTCATATTTATATTAATATATATTTCTTCTCTTTCAAACTATCATATTTATTTCAATCAGCTGCACCTAGTAGGTGAGTCTGCAGCACATATGTATATATATTGTATCAATAGTGTATTTATAAATAAAATGTGCCCGGGCAAGCACCAGAACTAATTATAGCCTACTTATATATATTTACCTATATACTATTAAATTTAAATAGCTTCCTGCACCTACCTGCGCTAAGGCCTGCGCAGTTGAGCGCCGTAAGCGGGGAAGACGGGATCCTGGGAGGTTGAGTCAATCGGAGGTCGGAGCAGTTACTTTCGGGCGACAACACGCCTCCTTTGGCCCATATTTCTGGCGAAACGGTCGCCTGAGCAGCCAGCCACTGCTCGGGAAATGGTCTAGTGCTTTACCGTCACAGGAGCACGGCGAGGAGTGGGAAGGTCTCTTCGGAGAAGGTAGTCGGCCATGCTGACGGGGTAAGGCACTGTGGAAGTTCTCTAGCCGCAGTTGTCCGAACTCCCGATGTCGCGCAAAGACGCCACCTTTCTGCTCCTAGATCCACTCGAGAAGATCCTGGTGCCATTGCGGCATCCCCATTTGCGGGCTCCGAGGAGGGTGGGACATCGAGTGGACGACTTTTAAATATTCTCATGACATTGAGAAACTGCTTGAAGGAAGTACCTTGGACGAAAATGAACGCCAAGAACTTTCATCCGATGACGGAAACTGTTTGGAGATGGTTGTTGAGCCTACAGGGACGGATGACCTAGGTCTAACGCCCAAAAAGGACTCAAAGCCAAAACCAAAACGAAGGAGGTTAACAGGAGCAGCGCGGAAACGCCTAAAACTGTTAATAGCCGCCAACATCAAGGCTGATGAAGCCTTAGAACTCTGCCGGAAGCCAATGCGAGACCAGCCCTCAGAGGTAAGATCCATCAAGCGCCCACGGTCAGAGGAGGTGTCCCCAAAGGAGCATACGCACAAAGCGCCTCGCGTGGCGCAGCCGTCGCCCACCGGGAAAGGTACCCAGGCAGCGGAGACTGCAAAGTCACCAGCGCCTACTGTACCTCAGACACCTAGAGTCACATACCAGGCACTTGCGACACCAGGTGGCTCTTCAAGCCCAATGGTGTTTGCACCAACAAGTGTCACTAGTAGCTCAACTAAGCGTTCTACGAATACGGCCCACCAGTTGCGAACGCCTGCACCCAAGCAGCGCGTAACGACTACAGGGACGGACGTAAACGCAAGGGAGGAAACTGCAACCTATAAGGACGCTCTCAAATCGTTCCGAGTGGGGATCCGACACACGGTCCCAATGACGGACGAAATGATGAGCATGGTGCGCTCCTCAGTTCTCCGGGAAGTTGGCAAGATCACGGAAGCTGGGAAGGGCCCTCGATTTGTAGGTTGCAGTTTCAAACCTGGTTGGCTGCTAATCACTTGCCAGAATGAGCCGACCAAAATATGGCTGGAGAGCATAACGCCCTCCCTAAAACCCTGGGCCGTCGCAGAACTCTCTGTGTTGGACGAGAGAGCGATGCCCAAACCAGCCATTGGAACGGCCTTCATCCCCAGTTCGGAGACAAGGTCGGTCGATGAGGCACTCAGAATGCTGAAGTCCCAAAATGACTGCCTAAATTCCGAACTGTGGAAAATACTCAACCGTAAGGCTGAAGAGAACGGTACAGTCCTGACCGTATCTCTGGACGAGCCTTCGGTTGACTTCCTCAAAACACAGGACTATAAAGTCAACCTTGGCTTTAAAAAGGTCCTGTTCCGGGTCAAGGGGATCTCCACGCCTACACAGCAGCCTACTTCGGACGGTAATGGAAGATCTGCCACAGAAATACCCACACCATCCGAAGCGGCGAAGGGCGTAGACACCAACGCCAAACCCGCCAGAGGCAGCTTTCCCCAGCCAAAGGGGACCTCGCAGACGAGGATCCCCAGTTTCAAGACGGGACGGAAAGATCGCGGCAGGAGCGCCACAGCTTCCAATCGCAACCCAAAGGGACGCCCACGTCCCACAGGGAAGGCGAAAGGAAGCTGCTAACACGCCCACACGCAAGAAATGTATCAGAGCCAACATTGTCCAGGTCAACTTACATCATGCTATGGCAGCAACAGCGGTCATAGAAAACCTCTTCCGCAAAAACGACCTGGACCTTGCTCTGATACAAGAGCCATGGCTCAACAAAGCCACGCCTTTAGGCCTCAATGCCTCAGGTAATATTCTTTTTAATACCACTGGCACTAAACCTAGAGCATGCATTCTTTTTAATAAGAAACTAGATTTTCTGACTGTTCCAGAACTATGTACAGATGACCTAGTGACAGCCTTCGTCAATTTCCCTGGATGCACAGGGTCAAAAGTACTGGTCTGCTCTGCATACCTACCTGGACATGATGAAAACAACAAAATCATCAAAGACCCGACAACCGGCCTACAGCCTGTGGTGGAATACGCCCGTAAGCACAAGGCCGAACTCCTCGTGGGCTGCGATGCAAACGCCCATCACACAAACTGGGGAAGCACTGACATCAACACCAGAGGTAAATCACTTGATGATTTTATACTAACCAACTGTCTTCAAATCCTAAATACAGGGTGCACACCGACGTTCGTCACTGCCACAAGACAAGAGGTACTAGATATAACACTCGCGACCGACAAACTGGCCGAATATATCACTCATTGGCATGTTAGCAATGAGAACTCCATGTCTGATTACAAGCACATCAGATTCACAATTGAGGCTGCAACAGACTCAAACCCCATACTCTACAGAAACCCAAAGGCTACAGATTGGCCTAAATACAGAGACAGTCTTACAAGCCTAATTGCGGACCTTCCGAAGAGTATCAAATCTCCTCTAGAACTAGAACTCGCTGTGGACATACTTCTAAGTGGCATAATAAGTGCCCACCAGAACAACTGTCCCATCAAAACCAAAACCGCCAAATGTAAAACCACCCTGGTGGAATAAGAGTCTAGAAAAGCTGAGGAAGAAAACTCGCAAATTATCCAACAGGGCTAAAAAGGGACCTTTCGAATGGGCCCAATATAGTAAAGCCCAAACGGAATACTACTGCGAAATTAGGAAAGCCAAAAGAGCATCATGGCGTGCTTTCTGCGAGGAGATAACTCAGACTCCCCAAGGATCCAGATTACACAAAATGCTTGCCAAGGCGCCAAATAACCAAATTGGACTTATGAAAAGGCCCAATGGTACCTATACGACATCAGAGGAAGAAACTCTACAGCTGCTATCTACAACCCACTTCCCTGATTCGGTTCATATCTCAAGAGATAAGGAGAACCCTCCAAGCTCACATCTACAAAAGCCCAACCATGAGGCGTGGAACAGAGCTGCGAGGATTTTTCGACCAAAACAATTATATGGGCTATAAAATCTTTCAAGCCATATAAATCATCGGGAGAAGATGGAATTTTCCCGGCCCTGTTACAACAAGGGCTTGACATCCTATCTCCCTATCTGGTAAGAATATTTAGAGCCAGCTTTGCCTGGGGTTTTATACCAGAACCATTAACGAAGGTCAAAGTTACCTACGTACCGAAAACCGGTCGAAGAGACTACTCGCAGCCAAAGTCTCACAGACCTATAAGCCTAACCTCTTTCATAATAAAAACCATGGAAAAGGTTCTGGACCAACACATTAGAGCTACAATCCTCGAAAATGCTCCCCTGCACAGGAATCAACATGCCTACCGCAAGGGACATTCCACAGAGACCGCCTTGCTCGAACTCACCGACAAGGTCGAGAAGGCCTTTGAGGACAAACAAATAGCTCTATGTGCATTTCTCGATATTGAGGGTGCTTTTGATAACACGCCCATAGAGACCATCTCACAGGGACTCATCCGCAAGAAAGTGGATGAAACCACCACTCAATGGATCAAAGCAATGCTCTCAAATCAAACCATTAAAACTACTCTTCACAACAGTACGTTAGAAATCCGACCTACCAAAGGATGCCCTCAAGGAGGCGTTTTATCGCCACTGCTGTGGCTACTAACGGTAGACCAGCTCTTAGATGTTATGACCAAAAACCAATTTGAGGTACAAGGCTACGCAGACGATTTAGTAGTCATGGTCAGAGGGTTCTGTGCAACAACAATATCAGACCGCATCCAAAGAGCACTAAACATCATAGTTAAATGGTGTAAGGAAAATGAATTATCAGTAAATCCTGATAAAACAGTAATTGTTCCGTTTACAAAAAGGAAGAAACTTGACAAACTTGTCATGCCTAAAGTAAATGGAAGAATATTAGAGTGCTCCAAAGAAGTCAAGTACCTGGGCGTAACCTTCGACCAAAAACTGACATGGAACACACACATAGACAACATAACTCAAAAGGCGAAAACATCCCTAGGTATAAGCCGACGGGTAGCGGGGCCCAGATGGGGAATCAACCCCAAAATTGCCCTATGGCTTTACACAGCAGTGGTGAGACCGCTTACCACCTATGCCTGCGCAATCTGGTGGAGGAAAACCCTCCAATCCACAGCTGCCACCAAGCTAAACAGCCTACAGAGAATTGCTTGTCTGATTATTACAGGAGCCATGAGCACCACGCCGGGAGCAGCTCTAGACGCATTATTGGACTTGACGCCCCTTCCTTTATTTATACAGGAAAAGGCGAAAGCCAATTTGCTCAGAATAAGTTCCCAAAGGAGGATATCTTGGCATTCCCTGGCCATAAAAACTATACAAGACTCGATTATGAGTGATCCTATTCTGGGAATGCCTGAAGACAACATGGCACCAGAGTGTAACTTTGTACAATATTACAAAATCGAAATATCTGGAAGAGACGAATGGCAAAATAACCATACACCGTCTCACTCAGAGCATGACCTAGTCTGGTTTACAGACGGGTCCAAAATAGGAGATGATGTAGGATGTGGAATATGTGGTGTAAAACCCAAAATCTGCAACTATATAGGCTTAGGAAAATACGCCTCAATCTTTCAGGCAGAGACTTACGCCTTAATTAGATGTCTGGAAGTAATCCTAAGCCTCAACTACATCAATCAGAACATATACATTTATTCGGACAGTCAAGCTGCTCTACTAGCACTTAACTCGTACGAAATCCGTTCTAAACTTATTAGAAACTGTATCCTGCTACTAAATGAAGTAGGAAGCAGAAATAATATTATACTGAGATGGGTCCCCGGGCATTCAAATATTGAAGGCAATGAGAATGCCGACCATCTGGCAAAGTTAGGGGCAAAAACCGTCCAACTGGGCCCCGAACCCTTCTGTGGTGTGCCTCGTTGCCTAAAACTGGGACATCTCAAATTAATAACCAAACGAGAAGCACTGAATCACTGGCAAGAAATGCCAGGATTAATACATTCAAAAGACCTAATATCGGGCTTCTCGACCAAATACTCCAATAGATTACTGCTATTGAGTAAAAACAACATATGCATGATGACTAGGGCCCTCACAGGACACTGCAAATTGAACAAGCATATGGCTAAGCTAGGCCTATGCACGACAAGTATCTGCAGATTCTGCCAAACTGAAGAGGAAACGCCGCTTCACATCCTATGTGGTTGTAGCCCACTCATGCATAAACGAAATATCTCCTTTGGAAAGTTTACACTCTTTCCCGAGGAGATAAAAACGATCGCTCCTAAGAATATCCTTCAATTCTTGTCCCTGACAGGTCTAGGTAGCGAACTCTGAAAAGGGCGAGCACAATAGATCTATGTAGGTCGCAGTGCTACAGGTGCTACACATCTGACAATAGCCCAAACAACCAAAAAAAAAAAAAAAAAAAAGTGCGAAATAGCTTTCCGAATAAGCGCTCCATTAAAAAAGATAACTGTGACTATTTAAAAGTGCTTAAATTTAGACAATAATAATACCTAAAATTAAATATATTATTTTGTAAACAGTCTTTAAATATATATACTTTTCATAAAGAATTTATATTATTGTGGTGCCTTATTTACATTACCATTACATTGTAGTTCTATGAAAGATTGTCTAAAACAATAATACAAACCTGCGATATATTTTTGATTCCACCCAAACATTCCAGGGCCTTTTCATCATTTTTGACAATCCCAGGAAACTGTATGCACACCAATTGTCTATTATTGTTTTCCATAATCCCGTAACTTCAATGGTAAAGTTAATGAGCAGGATTTATTTAAAATTGTAACTCATTCATAATATAAACAAGTGTTTCTGAAATGAACGAACGATGTTTGTACAAATAATAACCGGTTAATTAGAGAAGAAAACGAGAAAGATTATAAAAAATATACAATCAAAGAGGAATATTTAATGAAAATATAATATATATTTAATTGAAACTTACCTAACCTATTAATATTGTTGTAGTGGTTATAAAATTCGTCCAATTTAGACAGGCATAACCTATTAATATATACAAAATAAACAAAGTATGGCCTGTACGTTCACATTATCGTGACACGCGCAACGATTGATACTGTTGGTAACAGACCGTTCTGTGTTGCCAATTTTCTCAGATTACACATTTTATGAAACAAAACAAAATACTACAATAAATATTTCGTTTTATACCATAAAATTTGTAATTGTTTACATGCTCTTTTAATTTTAGTTAAATACCACAAAATATCTAAAATATTACTCTAAATCTAATAAAACAGTTTACGTATTTAATTTCATCTCATATCCCTTATATTCAGTGATTATAGAGGTATCATAAATATATATTTCAATTCATGTTAACTAGCAACACTGAATTTTTAAGTGCAACTAATGTGAAGTGACTATAATTTAGTAAACATTTCTTACCCACATTAGAGCAAGTAATCACTATATTTTATAACTAACTATTTTTGAAGTAGTCAAAAATATTGTGTGATAGAGAATTAAACAAAGTTTGGCGTTTCCTTTAGAATTGTTAATTTATTCTAATATATTCGCGGTGTACATTTTTTATGGTTCTTCTTCTACATATACATTCTAGTTAAAAAGTTCTGTGGGCACAACTTTGGCGATAACTGTATCTTAATACTTAATTAAGTAAGCTCTGATATTAAGTTTATTTTATTGTATAAGTACATCAGACCAGTTGTACAAATACCTATTCTAATAACAATTAACAAATTTATAAAATAAACATTCAATGGGGCAGGCGATATTCAAATAATAATGTATTCATAAAACGATCTTACTTTATTATGAAAATACAACATAAAACATATTGCAATGATTTGATGTCCACATTATACTATTATTTGTAACATTATTCTACTTGTATGAATGTGAATAAAAAAAAATACTTACATCTATCAGTCATTTATTACTCATGAGACCATTTCTGCTTACTTAAAATTATATGGCGCTGGGAAACATGTAGAGGACAATTTATTATTACAACAGACATAGAGATGTCTGTTGTATGTTGTAACATAACAGTATGTCTGCATACAGAGCCAACAATATTAGGAGCCTTGGTACAGCAGGCAAAATTAGATGTTTGGGATTGAGTACTTATCCACAATATATTTTGTTTCCCACATATGTCACGTAAGATGTTGGCAAATTATACATGTTTATACTGAATACTTCAACAATAAAGATCCCAAAAAATATTCAGTGCACAAACCCAGTCTTCCTGACTATATTTGTCTCTCCTGTGTCATATAACACATACATATATTCCTAACTAGGCTAATGTACTAGACTATCGGTGCACCACTGCTTCAACTGCAACCAACAACCTGAAAATATATATAATTACATTAAATTACAATCTAGAGATGATTATATAATAATGTAGTTGATTATTAATATAAATAATTTGTTACTTTTCTAACAAAAGATTCCGTTGCCTTTCAATCTCAAGTCTGTCCTTTTCCATTTTTAGTCTAATATTGTTGCACCTTTTCTTTTCTAATAGTTTTTGCTTTTCAATTCTTATTCTCTCTTCTTCTAAATTTAAGAGTCGATCATGAACTAATCCTGAAAAAGAAAAATGACAGATTAGCTACATTGAAACCTATGTTTATTATTTATATGGATATATATAAAGCTATATATTGCTGATAAAATGCAAAAGGGCCACAACGCAAAAATAATTGTTCAGTTTTTTTGCATTGTGGCCCTTTGGCATTTAATCAGCGATATATAGCTTTAGTAATATTATATTATTCCATATATGGGCCACATGTTTGATTACTACCTTGCGTAGCATAAAAAACAAATGTCGTAAAATTATATTACTATTATGTTCATGCCATAATCATAGTAGATACACTCACTGACAGGTCTCCCTCTCTTCCACAAAGGTTTTCCATTGGTAGGTACTGATGAGATCTCATTAGAACTCATACCAATATCTGGATCTGCACTAATGCCATCTTCAAGACTTATTCCAATATCTGCTTGGGTGTAATGCTGTGCATCTGTAGACCATTTCTAAAATAAAATAATTAGGATTGTATATATATTTACATGTAATAGTGGTTTAAAGTCAAGTATAGCAAATATAAAATAGCTACCAACCATTGTACTTGTAGATGGGTCTTGATTACATATATCATTATTTAAATTAGGCTGTGTAACAGTCTGAAAAGAAACACAGTATTTCTATAACATATAGAAATTTAGGTATTAATTATTAAATGAAATAGATAATTTTAGCAACATTTTTTTTTATAAAGTATGTTAGATCTAAACCTTTAAGTTACTAACTTTACACAGTATTATATTGTATTTAGGGAGTATATACACTATAGATATTAGCAAATAATTTGTGAAATGAATTAGTTGATTTTACTAATGTTTTGCTTAAAATATGAAAAATTCTAATTTTGAAACTAACATTCCCAAATTTACAAAGTATTTTAGACTACAATTGAAATACTATGCATTATAAATACTAGCAAATAGCTTGTGCATTATTTGATATCATGTGATATACATCAATGCTATTTCTGATAATGTTTAATACAATTGTACTATACTTTGTAAGTTGTATATTTATCTTTTTTAACTTGTTAAACAAGTTGTTTACCACTATTGCATACATTATTATTCATGCATAATGTTTACTAATATTGTTAAATGTATTGTCTTTACATACCATTTTATTTATGTTAAAACAAAGGAATTATATTACTAGATTATGAAAATGAAAGCTAAATCAAAGACAATTCTTTCCTTGTTTAAAAAAATAAAGACATGAAAAGTAATATACATATAACATAAAAAGATTAGTAATAGCCCATGAACACATTAATGAATTAAATTAGTAAAACTGGACATCTGTTAGGCATCTGCATAAGCTAAGTCTCATTGTTCTACAGTATATAAATCTGTTTGTAATTACCACAGAGTTAATACCAACGGCAGATGTTTCAGGCACACCAGCCAATCCAAATACTGAAATATTAGTACAAATTAACCTCAGAATCTTCTCTTCTGCCTCTGTTAATTGGGTATTAGCATTACAGCCGGGTGTAAAACGATTTTTCCTTATTCTAAATGCTTTCTTCTTTACATTCGATTTCCAATCCCTCCAAGTCTAAAAGATATAAAAATTTACAGTTAAAAATTAAACTTTTAATTTATTAAAAATCTAGGCTGATTGGATCATACTGTAGTCTATACAAAGTTATCTGTATGGGTTGTCAGCATAAAATCAAATTTATATTTGGCAGTTTGTACGGGGGGTGATGATTATCTTACAATACCTGTTGCCATTTATCAGGAGTTTTTATTGCACCCGAGCCGAAACCTGAGTTAGCATTCAGTTTTTCTGTAATTTTAATCCATGCATTTGTTTGACGAATTCTGCCTTCAAGACCTGTAAATTTTCCAATGGCTAGTTCCTTATCCTCCTCTAAAAAATGTAAAAGCATATTCAACTGCTCTGGACTGGCTTTGCGTCTTTCCATTCTTCACGAAGCATAAAATTCACGAATATTTATGTCAGAATAAGCTAAAAAGCATAATAAACAAAACAACAGAAAAAACTGACGTAAATTTGACATTTTTGAAATATATTGATATCTGTCGTTTATGACTTTGACAGTAACTAGTCTTCAATCAATTGTTCAGTCTACTGAAAACACAGATCGAACCTTGACAAGAAAAACAAAATTTCAATTTCAATGCAGCCACAACATTAAAAAAATTGTTCAGACTTCATTCTCAAGAATTATAAACAGACAGGGTTGTAAAACGTAAGAGAATCCTCGTACAAGAGGTTTTACTGATCTCGGTATGAGGATATCTTCGATCCTATACAAAAATCAGCGAGATTTTAAGCTACACAAATCGATCAAAATGTGTACAATGTACGTGTTCTAATAGCCAATACACCTACGATATTTCTACTTCTCCTAAATGTATTAAAACCCATAAGACTGGATCCATCATAAGAACAATAATAGTTATTGTCTTATTTTATTGTTCTTAGCAGTCAACCATAATTGCGAATGACACTGGATAGGGTACTTTTTCGTGCTTATTGAATTCCTTAGCCTGATTAACAATTAGTTTTCAAAAAAATTAAACAGACTAAATTAAATTTATTTGCAAATGGGCGAATGGCGCCAGTTTTTGAGTTTTGATTAACCTAATTTGTACAAGCACTTGTCAATTAACCGATATTGCCTGGAAATAAAATGCAAGAAGATAAAAATGCAATTTTTCAAATGCGATTTCCACAAAAATTGTGGCATTTACTAAATATGCACACAGATGCATTACTATGGGGTGGAACAGGGCGGACGATATTATTAAATTATCGAATTCTTCATAGTTATCTCCAGTGCAACGATTCCATTTTTAAAACAACAAATATATCTAGTTTTGTACGGCAATTGAATTTATACGGATTTCGTAAAGTTACCTCACATTTGCAAGACCCTTTATGTAATTCTAGTAACCCTTATATGCATGAATATGTACATGATTATTTTCAGTATGGAAGGCCTGAATTGTTGAATAAAATTACTAGAAAAGCTTTAGCGATGAAAAAGAACTTCAAACCAAAGGTATTTAAAATTTTTATACTTCTAAGACATACATACCTGAATTTTCTTATAGATGATTATCAAATGGTATATGGTATATACACCTGTGTTAATACCAAAAACTGTATTGAGGATGAAGTCGGTTACTAGTCGTGGTGACTTCAACAGGAATCACTCAAGATGGATATATATCAGGAAAATACCCCGTAGAGATTTATTTTGATAACGAGCGTAAATAGGTGTGAAGGAAATTATCTCTGAACTTCGCACTTTAACAGAGATAACTAATGGTGTACAAATAAATAACGTAAAACAACAGATAAACAAAAGTATATCCCTGAACAAATTATATAAAAACTTATTTATTATTATAATATAGCTAAAAGGGATATTTTAAATGAAGACAGACAAGTATTCTGCCATACCAGTCAGTCTGATCATCGATTGCAAACGTCTGTTGCTTGTTACAAGTCCCCATTACCTGCTAGCAAATAATTTAACTACGACGGACCTATATCCTGTGGGTAGTTTAGATATTCAGTACTGTTATAAGTTAGTAAGAACGTGTGCTCTGTCTTCTTTCTATCCTATACCTACATATACCGTTAATATTTTCAGTGATTAATCAATTACCATCTTTATAGAAGCTGAAATCATTTCAGTTTTTAAACCTTATAATCTAAATTGATTTAGATGAACCTTGTAGAAAAGAGCATACATAAACTGGGTACATTATTTATATTTTAAACAAGTTGGGACACACGACTCGATTTATTATCGCGATAATAGTAGCACATACCGAAACTATCTCTATACCAAAATACATCAAAATTGGATCCTGAACTTTCCCATTTGACGGGCTCGGTAGTCTAGCAGTTTAGCACACACGCTATACATCCTATGTACGTAGGTTCGATTCCTCGCACGGCACAAACATTTGTATTCATGAGTATGATAGTTTTTATCGGTTTGGGTGTTTTCTATGCACATTGTACGTATTTAAAAAAAAAATTATCTCAGTGTTTATGTCGGTTATCTAGTACCCATAAAACAAACTCTGCTTCTCTTGGGACTAGATGAATGTGGCGCTATGTGAATTATCTTGAGATATTATTATTATTTACATACATACATACCTACCTAGTAAAAAGAAATATCGTTTTATAGATTTTATATGAAGAAACAGAACAAACTCTTTATTTCACACCTCTTCAAAAAGCGCGACAAGCCTTGCGGGATGCGTTGAAAAATGCAGCCCAAGAAATGTTTACGCAGAATTTACCTAGGCAGTTTTGTAGTATCAGGTTTGAACCTGAAGGTAAGACAACAATTATAATGATGAAGACTTTTACGATGGTAGTTACTAGATAAACTATAACTGATTTATCTGCAATATCTTGGTCATTTAAAATTTTGAATGCGTAGGCTAACCGATGGTAAAACACAGTAAGATTATTTTTATGAACGAACAGAGAAAGGAGATCCCTAAATAATTTGATAGGTGCACCACCAAAGAATGAAAGCACAAAGAAATCAGGTCATATAGTTCATATTGATGAAATCTATCGGGAATTCCATTGTGACGTGTTCCAATAATTCTAAAACCTTATATATAAAATATTAACAATTTTATATTTTCAGATGGCCAAGACGACTATTGTGAAGATGAAGACAATATAGAATTTGATTGGTTTACAAATAATGAACATAAAAATACGGAAGAATTTCCACAAAGAGGTTACTCCTCAATACTCTCTTTCTCCTACTCACTTTATTTTGACCTTACCTTTATAATTATCCTTTTATCCTTCCTTCCTATAGCGACTGACGAAAACACTGTTAATTTGGTCAACAATGAAACTTTTGAGTAAGTAATACTTTAAGTTAATTAGGAGTATGAAGATATGTGTGTTATTTATGTGAACATCATAATTTGTGATCACAGGAATTCGTCACAAGATAATTTGATGGACTTCAATGATGAAACCAGCCAACAAAACAATGATAATTTCTCAGTTCAATTTTTGAGTATGCCAGAATTAGACCCTGAACCTGAGGCAAATAGACACATAGAATTACTAGCAGGATTTGATATAGAAAACAACACTCATCAGAATACAATAACAAAAATTGTGAAAGAGAATGAACATCATTCTTTGAACTGTGTGCTTCCATCTATAAGTAATGATGCAACCATAAGTTCTCAGATGGAGGTAATTGTACACATTTTCAGTAAAATTGTAACAATTATAAATATATCAACATACCTTGTTGATGTATTTTTATACATTGATTAATATTCATTTATTTATTGTAATATGTAAGAATGTGCTAATTCTCTAGAAAATCTCATTATCTTGTATATGAATATGATTTTTTTTCATTAAAATTCATGATAAGATTTCTGCCTACCATAACATTACATTCTTTCATGTTTTATTTATTTTTTATTTAATAAGTAGTTCTGTTGCATATAACAGGTCATAGGTAATGTTAAGTGTGGTTTTGTGTTTGCTATATTATATTATAAGCTTAGTAAAAATCAATAATAGTAAGAGTTTTATTTTATTTTGAAATATAAAATTAAATACTTGGCCATCACCTCTGTCATACTATCCGAATTTTATTTCAGAAAATAAATGACGATTCAAATCATTATCATGGTGAATGGGATCAGATGTTCAGTGATATGATTACTTACAAAAGCCCCAACCAAGAATGTGGCTCTGACTTGAAAGAATTATATTCACAGATTTCAAAAACAATAGATTTGCTTAATTCCTAGTTTAATAGACTTATTAACTTCATATCTAACAATAAAACATTTTTGTTATTTGAAGTGTATTCCTTATTAACTGTGTAAAAATGAGAACTGAAGTACAATACATAATTAATATTATTTCTTTTGTTTCTTCTTCTCTGCTTCCTCTTCTTTCTCTTTCTCAATAACAGACACATAAGAGTTAATAGTGTCAGAGTCTAGCATTTGCATAGGCTGTCCACGTCTCATAACTGCTATCTCCAAGTTTTTCTGTCCGGATTGAACCACTTCAAGAAGAGCCCGAATTGCAAGCTGTAAGATAAATTTAAATATTTAGATGAACAATGTTATATCACAAAAATTATGACAAAATTAATGGTGTACCTTACATTATTAGACTATATAATAAAAAAATCATGATTAGAAAAAATCATCATTTGTAAAGAGTTTTGTTTAATCATGAAATTTAGCATTAACCAAACCTAAGAAACCTATTGGTGAGTTGGGATGACCAGTATTTAAATGACTTACTGAATGAGAATTACAGCTGTCCATTAATCTAATTTTGTACAATATAATAGGAATTATGACATAATAGGTATCAAATAATAATAAAGGTATAAAATATTCGCTTCAGATTATTTATTAATTTTGTATAATTATTGTGACTATAATGGACTAATAAAAAGTTGCATAAATATATCATACTTTCAATGGATAGTAACCAGGATAATCTGACATGGTATATATGTAAGATTATAACCAGTAGGAAATTAGTTTCAAATTGATTTAAAATAATAAAAATAATTTTCTATTGTTTTTAGAATTAATATGAAAATTGGCATGTTTCATATTTGTTAACAACATAAGAAAGAAGTTACCTTCACGGCACCTTTTTCAGTAGCTACTTCCTCTGCAGTATAGTTCTTTTCCAAAAACTCTCGTACCGTTTTAGCTGATCGACCTGTAGCATTAGCCTTCCATTCATAATATATGCCTGATGGCTCTGTTTGAAACAAATGGGGTAATCCATCATAATCAAATCCACCAATCAAACACGAAATACCGAAAGGCCGGCGTCCATTGCTTTGAGTATATCTCTGCTTCAGGCCCGCAATGTATCTTGTTATGTATTCTAAAGTCACGGGATCTTCGACAGTAAGTTTGTGGGACTGACATTCTATTTGTGCTCTATTAATAAGGATCCGGGCATCCGCTGTTAGACCAGCAAAAGCCATCACAACATGATCATCTAGAAGACATATTTTACGAACAGTCCGCTCTTCTTGTAGCTTTGCCACTGATTTCTTTTCAACACCCAACACAACGACGTCAGCTCCTCTTACACCAACCTTTTTAAGACAGTAAAAAAAATTATGCTTCGTAATGACACCAAAACTAACCAAATTTTTTATCTATACTCACAGCGGTAGACCCTTTACGAACAGCTTCTTGTGCATATTCTACTTGTAACAAATGGCCGTCCGGCGAAAATACTGTAATAGCTCTATCATACCGAGCCGACATAATGTGTTTTTATTAATTTATTTAAGTTTAAATAAAGGAAAATCTCAATTAATGCAAAACTCTTGCAAACACTCAGTTGAAACTTGATTTGCGTTTTTAAAAGTCATAGCACAGAGCACTTTCATAAATTTTAATTTGTCATGCCTGATGGTTTTTTTTCTCTTCTTATGGATCCGGCATGCCGGTTTTAGACAGTGACTATGACGTCTTGTTAAACTATTTATACAGTCTGAAACAATGGCGCCATCTATATGGAATATCGTGAGTTTATGTTCCCAGTTTTGACGTCGGTAGCAAATCCGCTGGTGTTAAAATTAAAAAATTGTATATGTCACTTGAGAAATATGGCGGATTCTCTCGATTTCGAGCCATGGTTGATTAATAAATTGAAATCATTAAAAACAGATGAGAATGTATTTGGATCATATATCTCAGGTATTTTAGACAGTGAGGATTCTGTGGATGATAAGAAAGATGCGTTGGAAGGTATACTAGCAGAAATTGTGGTAAGTGTAATTGGCTTTAAAATGCAAGTTCTACGAATGTCACAAATTATAATAAATGTTCTTAATTTAACAGGAAAGTGATATTTCGGTTCATGTAAATGAGATAATAGAAAAATGGGAATCCTCTAGGCCTAAAGAGGAAGCCCCTAAACCATCTACAGATGTGGACTTACAGCTAGCAAAATTACTTGAATCTCAGGCTCTTGCTACCACAACGCGGCGCGAATACACAGACGAGGAAAAAAAATGAAGCATTATTCCAAATTTTGGAAATGGGTGTGGTGCGACTATATACTTTTTTAAGTATTCTATAGAACAGGAAAAAAATACGTGAAGCTATTCTATCACAATATAGTCAATTATCTGATAATGAGGTAATTACATTACTGTGTATTTTATTTTGACTTAGGGTTAATTGTTATCAGAATTACGAGGTTTAGTCCGTCCAGATATAACTTCTCTTCTCTGACAGGTATACATACACTTGTGCACTTTTTGAAATGTATTTCTACTTGCCACTGACAAGTTATTTTAACCATAAAAACAACTCTTCTGTGGGGTAAACATTCAAAACAGTGCAATAACCATTTTATTTAAGATTGTGACTAAAAGCAACTAATCTGATTACTACAGATACAACGAAATAATTTCTTATATTCAGAATGTTCATAATAATGAATCAATGAGCCATATTTGTTTTAAACCACAATATGTAAAGTTAGCTCATGGAAATAGATTACCATTGCAGTGACAACTAATCTGATTATTTCCGCTACTGAGCATTCAGCGTTCTTAAAATAGCGATATGACCATACCTTAAACATTTAAGACACTGCTTTACAGGAGGAATATATCACCACAAAGCGCCTGTAGGCCTCATGAATCTGCGTACACTCTATTTTTTGAGCTGGTTATATTAGAGTATATTTGTTCGTTCGATAGATGTAGGAACATGCTGAACTACTCCAGTTACTTTGGCTGAAGCTGGTATACTTGCCTTTAATTTAAATCCGTCTAGAAATTTTTTATTAACTAAGGCTGCATAAATGTCAAAAAGTTTTTGAGTCATAGTAGCTAAGTGAATTGCCTAATTGAGGAAATGATTTCTCTCTAACAATATCAGCATAACATTGCGGGCGTTCATTTAAGAACTGCTTTACAGGAGGAAATGAGCCGCCAGCTATTCATCAACGGTGTTAAATTTAATCCACACGCCTCATGAATCTGTACACAAACAATATTTTTGAGCTGGTTATATTAGAGTTATTTGCTCAGGGGATGCGTAGGAAATGCTGAACCTCCAGTTTTGAAATATGAGAACAATATTTCTGGTCCTCTCAACACCCCAAAACCCCAACCCAATCTCTGAGTTTAGTTGATATTATAAACAAAGCAGTCATGTATCATGGTAAAAAAAGTGATAGCAAATGTTATGGTAAGTAGATTCTTTATTGAAATCGCTTTTATGCTTTGAAGTGATATAGGTGTATTGTAGGAAGGTTTAATTTATTATTCAAGTAATTATACAGTTTGAGATATGTTTTGTGTTGGTTTACAACAATGCAATCATTCCACACATACTCCAATGAGAATATCTGATTCCTGAGAGCCATTGAGCTCTTTACTGAACTAGCAGAACTGCTGCAGTTGAGGCTTGGTTGATTATGTAACTGTCTTGTTTCATTTCAAGAAACATACCATATGTGATCTTTACAAAGTTTTATTTCGATTAAATAATTCCTTCCCCATTTTCATGCATTCATTTGTATAAAACAAATATTTTTTAGGAAAATGGAGAAAAGGAAGAAGAGCCAGAAACTCTTGATCTCGTTAGGAATACAAATGCAGCAGATGTTGCCGCAGCTGCGCGTGACCGCCGAGAGCAGGCTCGCCAGGAAGCTCAGCGTAAGAAGGAAAAAGATAAAGAAGACAGGTTTGCTAACTTTTCACATCCAAATGATAGATTCTGTATATGACAAATGAATTGTTCTCTTCTTGACAAGGAATTCATGGTCATATCACAAATAGTGTAATTACAGAGGGTATACCTTCATCACACTAGTTATTAAATGAACTACCTGCTGTGATTTCCTGTAGGGAGACAACAAGATCAGAGTACATTCATTTTTATAATGGTCGGGAAAACGCATGAAACCTTGGTGTTTCCATAGATTATCTGTTTATCATCAGGTGGCTCACATGATTGATTGCCACCACTGTGGTGTAAAAAAAGGAAATAATTGTTGTTCAATATGTGTCATGCATGAGATTTGGGTCCAAATATTTGGAATTATATTCCTTGTTAGACATATTTTTAAGCAGGCAGGTTAATATTAATTTTCATTGTATAAACTAACTAAGGACAGATACTAAAACAATAAGTATTTATTTCTCCCTAGTAGATTTTTGAAGAATGATACATTAAAATTTCTGCATTTTATTGGTTGTAATTGTTTGTTAATTAGTTCCAGTGTTGCTATTAACATTACTAATTCTGTGCCGTCAACATAATTATAGTTTTTTCTTTAATTATAGAGAGAAACAAAAGCAGCTAAAAGAAGAGAAAAAAGAAAAGCGTAAAACACAAAAAGGTGAACGGAAAAGGTAGCATGTATAAATATAACATGTGAATGGCAAAGCTGTTCAAACTGTATTATAATAGAATATTACTCTCATATCCTAGTATTAACATATGGGTAGGTAACACATGACACTATTTATAATTTTATAATATCCAAAGACATGATGGCACATTAAGAAAAAGGTATATTTATAAAATCAATACAGTGGACCCCCAGTAATCCGACAAATTGCAGATCCAATGATAAGATTCTATATGTTATATATGAAGTACAAATTATACGTCATTATGTATGTCAACTACTAAAAGATTCGTTACGATTTAGGCGGTCTATAATATGACGGTTCTCTTTAATTATCAGTGTTTCGTGGTTTCGCTGATACATAATACACAATGAATAAACAGTAAACAATGAACACATGCTATACCGCAACGCTATCGTCATCACATGTTACTTACATTCAAATTCAAACTAAGCAATCATAATCAAAACAATACCCTACGTTACCCGCGTTTAAAAACATATTCAATAATAAATAATAGACCATGTCGGATTACAAGGGAGGCCGGATTACCGGGAATCCACTGTACACAGTTTTCGTATACTCGTAAATGTAAAACGAATATGATATAGCTTTCATCTATACATGTGTTAGACATAGTCAACTATTCAGCTTCTATGCTTTCTACACGGAAAATCTTCTCTTCATTACTCTCTTAATCTTTTCTTCATTACTAATAGTCCCTAAAGCCTACTTTAGGGACTATTAGTAATGAAGAAAAGAAAAATGTTCAAACATACTACGCACCTTATGTACATCTTCCCGCGCTCTAATTTCCCGTATGCTTGCAGAAGCCATTAAATGCATCCTAAAAAAACATTCTAGGATATTAGAGTAAAATAACAAATTGAAGTGGATAATCAAAAGTATTAGATAATTTGATTCTATTTACTTCAATATTGTTATGCAAAAGCTTTTGTATATTATATGCATCCTACTAATTTAAGGTATGAGCAATGGATGTAGCAGCGTATTAGATTAAAATATTTTATATTGTGATAAATGAATGTGCTGTAAACAATAACGTATAATGAGTGTTTTCTTTAAGTTACTTGAGTCATTGTGTTAAAAATCATTTTATTAGATTGTAAAAATGATGTAGTCTTAATGAACATGATGATTTTTTAATAAGAATTAATATTGTATTGAATTTATTTGATAGATATTAATATCAATTAAGAAATACAATTTCTACATTTTAATATTGCCATTATATTAATTCGCACCAAGTTAAGTAACAACTGGTTTTCAAACAAATATATGTACAAGTATATAATAAAAAACAAACTCAATTGTTTTTAAATGTAAACTTCAATAGCAATTGCATTATTAATTTAAATTACAGAACCACCAAATATCTATTATAATTATCATTGTTATGGATACATTTAATTGTGTTTGTTAAATTTGGTTTTTTTTCCTAAAATATTAATTAACATTGTTGAAAATTTATTGTAAGTACATCTGTACATGTTCTTATGACTTTTTTAGGTTTTTAAAAGAGTGAACATATAAATTATACAAGCTGTATGAACAATCCAATGGAAATAAATGAATATAAAACAATGTAACAAATATATGTTTCTTTTTCCTAAATAAGTTATCACAGTGTTGATATTATTTAATCATAATCAGTTATTATTGAGTTATTAACATTATATATAGATATCTACATATTATTTGTTAAATGACAACCTAAAATACACAAATTATCACAGTGTGTTCCATATTGGATGGTACATTAAATGGACCTTTATATGTTATTGTCAACATCTTAAGTTCTAATAACTAGAAAGTTATAACAATATTGTTTATTTAAATGAACTAAAAAATGAAATCTTATTTATTTATGTTAAGTAGGAATATGACAAGTTCCTTTAGAAGTAGTTCAAGGGAATGATTTAGCAATTTTTCAGTTACTATTATTTTCACATTGTGAAAAAGTTAATGATTCATTGTAAATTAACTACTGATTATGCTACAGATTAATCAGGTTTTGTGCACTGCAAAATTTTGATCTAGAAAACTCAGATCAAGTTCATTTTCAAACTATTATGCATGAAGTATGAAGTCTGAGAATATACAAATATCAAAATAACAGGAAAAGTAAATACTTCAGAATATCACACTCTTGAAATCTTTTGATATAATAACAACTAAATAGTAATAACAGTTAACCCTTAAATGCATAAAGTAGTAAAACTGCAACATACCATTCAAACGACCATAAAATTATTAGTATGAGTTCAATGCATGCTGTTGCAGGATTATTACTATCATGGTGATATATTTAATCGAGTGGCAACACACTTTTTTTCTTCACGACTGTCAAATTTAAATTGACATTGACAAATCAAAGCCGATCGTAATTTTGGAGCGGATGAAAATTGTGTATTTGCTTTGCAGTGTAATTATTTGGTTTTCGAAGGTACGTTCAAACAAAATTAGTTATTTTACGTAATAATTCATCTTCTTTTCAGTACAATTTATAAGTTATAAAAAAAACTTTTGGTGTGTTCGGAAATTTTGTTTATTTTGTTGTTGTAAATCTGCAACAATATGCATTTACTAGAAAATGTCCCTGTTTAGTTACTAACTATCACTTTTATTTGTTTTCAGATGCCATACTTGAATCAAAAGCAAATAGAAGAGTATTTAGCTCTAATAAATGATGGAGAGGTTTCGGAAGATGATCTTGAGGACTCGGATACAGAAGGTAATGAGAATTTTTATGAAAATGGAGACGATTTGCTTCACGATCTTGAGAGTCCATTAGAAGAGGAAAATGATGACCCCGATAATGATCCATTCATGGCAGGAGACCCGCCATTGATAAATGAAGCTACAGCAAATGATCAAGTGCCACAGGTTCCATTCCCCTCAACAAGTCAAGCTAGTCGCCGAGCAACTATGAGAGGACTCGTATGGAAGGTAAAAAAAATTGTTTTGAATTCTGACCAGACAGCTTTTCATGGAGACACTACATACCCACCTGAACTGAAGGATGAGGCTACTACTGGTACTCCCTATAGTATTTTTTCACATTTTATTACATCAGAAATAGTTCAAAGGATTGTGGAAGAGTCTAATTTGTATTCCGTTCAAAAAAATGTGACTAAACCATTAAATTTATCTGAAACTGAGCTAAGAAAGTTTATGGCGATACTGATATACATGTCTGTTATAAAATATCCCAATGTACGGCTATACTGGTCAAATACTGTAGGTTTTCAACCAATCAAGGACATAATGACTGTCAACCGATTTGAGACTATTCGTAGATTTCTACATTTCAACAATAACGAGAAACATTTACCCAAGGAACACCCACAACATGATAGGCTCCATAAGATAAGGCCTATAATTAGCCATCTAAATGAGAAATTTGCTTTAGTTCCTATGGAACAAAAACTCTCAATTGATGAACAGATGTGTGCCACAAAAGTGGCACACTTCATGAAGCAGTATTTACCTAATAAGCCCCATAAGTGGGGGTTTAAATTATATGTGATGTGCAGCGTGAAAGGTTATGCTCATAAATTTGAAATATATACTGGCCAAGAGAATGAACGGCTTCCAGATGAACCAGATTTTGGGCCAGTGGGAAATGTTGTAGTCCGGCTTGCTAGAGGTGTCCCAAGGCATATAAATCATATAATTTATTTTGATAATTTTTACACCTCTGTACCTTTAGTTACCTATCTTGCCAAACAAGGAATCTATAGCCTAGGTACTGTGCAATCTAACAGGCTAGTGAACTGCAAACTGCCGGACAAAAAAACAATGATGAAGAAATCTGTTCCTCGTGGAACTTATGAAGAGCAGATGACTGAATTTGACGGTATTGATTTGACAGCAGTTACTTGGAAGGACAATAAAGTTGTAACTTTTCTATCTTCATATGTTGGAGCTGAGCCTGTGGGCCAAGTAGAAAGATTTGACAAGGCAAATAAGACTAGAATTAAAATTTCATGCCCACATATAATAAAGGAATATAATGCCCATATGGGCGGAGTGGACCTAATGGATAGCTTTATTGGGAGGTACCGAATTGCAATGAGAAGCCGAAAGTGGTATCTTCGTATCTTTTACCACTTATTGGACATGACAGTAATAAATTCTTGGCTTGTGTATAAAAATTTAAAAACAACTGAAGCCAATTCATCAGTTCTAAACCTATGTAACTATAGACTGGAACTAGCTGAGGTATTAGCCAAAGTAAATAACTCATTTGAACTCTGCAACAAAAGAGGAAGGCCAAGTACCAGCAAGTGTTGAAATGGAAATACAAGCAAAAAAAAGGAGAGGACCAGCTCAACATATTCCTCCTAAGGACATAAGGACTGATAATGTTGGTCACTGGCCTGGTAATTGTGTTCGCAGCAGATGCAAAATGCCTGGATGCAAGGGATACACGCAAAACAGGTGTGAGAAGTGTGGAGTAGCTCTTTGTCTTACCACAACCAAAAATTGTTTTAAAAATTTTCATATGTAGTTATTGTCTAGTGAGTGCATAGTGTTGTAGTTCTGCAACAAATGGTTTTTAATAAAAATAGCTATGAAAATAAAAAAAACTATTTTTTTTATTATTTTTCCATAAATCAGCATATTCATGGCTCCAAAATATATTTTTTCTCCATCTAAAAATAAAATCATGCATAAAATCATGCATTTAAGGGTTAAACATAATGTAAAAAATAAACAGATTATATATTGCAAATGCAAAAGATGATGAAAATAATTGACTTGAGACACTAACACTTGAGAATTTGATTTACAGTTTTGAAAAAAAGAATTGTTTAGCTTTTATGCTAAATATTTAATAATTATAGGTATATGTAAAATAATATATAATTCTCACAGTATATAACAATAATACAAAAATAACATATAGTAACAATTAATCAATTGATTCAGTGCTGTTATTATTTTCATTTTCATTACTATTCAAGTTAATGTCTAAAGTAACAAAATTATGTGCTCCACCTGCAAATATTCTCACTATTCTGTTATTGGTTGTATCTATGGGTACCATAGTTGGTATGAATACATTGCTTTTTGTCTTAGTTCCTGTATTGGCATGTTCATTCCAACCCCAAGCCCATAGAGTGTTGTCAGTAGCTAAACATATAGTATGCTCAGAGCCAAGAGCAACATCTATCACTTGTCTATCATCTGAAAAATATAATGTATTTAATTGCAACAAAAATTATAACATTACCAATACTATATTATAATATCTAATAAGTTTGACGAAGCACATTTAGAATGTGTAACTACAAGGATGCTGATAGGGCCACAACTGTTTATAACCAGATTATAAATCAGTATGCTGTTTGATTGAGGAGGGGAGATTTACCAAATCTAGAACTGGTGAGGTGAGTTATGAAAGTGAATAAAGCAAGTCCCTGTGTTATAAGTTCTCTATGTTAAAATAATAACCAAAAGTTATGCCAACCTGGTAATTTGACATAAATTATTTTTCCTACAAAAGAATCTTCTGTCCCTAATTGTCCATAGTTATTTCTTCCCCAAGTACACAGTGTTCCATTGTCAAGCCATAACAAAACATTTGTCCATCCACTTAGTAATTTTTTGACTGTTTGTTTTACACCAATATCAATTTTTTGTGGTGTGAAGATTTTTTTATACTTATCAATACTCAATAGTAACTGTCCATGTTTATTGTCACCCCACACATATAAGGCTTTTTCTTCTGAACACCAAGTCACAGTATAGTTCTGCCCACATGCAATATGTGTTATGGCCCCAAGTCTTGGCACTTGTTCAAATCTGTCTGTTGATAATCTGTCATTCCCCAAACCTAGTTGGCCATGCCTTCCACATCCTGTTATCCACACTTCACCTTTAGAGTTAACAACAGCTGTGTGCCTTAGACCCATAGCCACAGAACATGCATTGATTGGTAAGCGAAATGGTTTCATTATATCTGGGAAATGGTCTTTTGGCAAACCTAATTGTCCATTTTTGTTAGAACCCCAAACAAAGAGGAAGTTGCTATCTGTAACAGCACAACTGAAATCCCAGCCGCATGCAATGTTTGTGAATGTTATACCACTCAATTCCCATATTCGTACAAAATTGTGGGTTTCTGTATTACTTCCACATTGATGTTTGTAATTCCATCCACAAGTAAATATTTTACCCTCATCATCAATCAGAACTGTGTGGCCTCCACCGCAAGATATTTGTTTAACTTTATTAACATAAAATGGATCTGTCGTTACCTTCGTAGGATTTTCAACTTGTTCGCAAACTATACCTTGGGCTAATTGGCCGTGAGAATTAGCACCCTTGAAAAAAATAAAAATATTTACACTGTATCATTATTTACTAGTTTAATTTAATTTTAAGTAGATTAATTTAATTTCAAAAATAGAAACGAAATAAGTTATTCATACCCAAGACAACATTTTATGGCTAAAAATATAATTTCATGAACAACTAGGGTATTATTACAATTGAGCTGAACTTCAAATTATCAATTTATATATAAAAAGATTATTATCATACGACTTAGAAACGCTCATGACAATTTTGAGGATGAGACCTTTTGTTTTTGTAATTATATTAGTAATTACTGAAAATAAACACTGAAAAGCAATACATTTCAAGATTACAATTAGATTCATTTCACGTTCTAATGAGAACTGAATCACTGACGTATATGAAGAGTAAACTGACGTTAGTGGCTGCTGTCATCGTTTCTTTTACTAATTTATTTATGGGCATGGATACAAGTCCTTCATACTGAATAATAAACAACATTTATTTACATTATTGTGTTGTCAATTCCAAACGTTCAAATTATTTTATTTCCACATTCTATAATGTTGACTATATTGTACTCAAAATTAGAAAGGATTATTGTTCTAATAGTAAATTATAGGCTTTAGATATTTAAAAATAAATATACCATACTACCCTAGATACTACCCTAGTAAGAAGAATTGTCAATTGTCGATGGCGTGGTGAATCAACATTTAACAGAGCTTGTTAATTCATTCCTTTATCCAACGTGGTTGGAAGCAAATGCGCTATTTCACGGATTATTTTTGGCCTGTTATCGGTGTCCACTGCGTCAAACAGTTACTCAAAAATATAAATTAATACTTAATTTTTTTGGTATAGGTCAGGTTTCCACTATTGATTGTATGTAATATGGGGTAGTAAACTTCAAGGTCATGACAGCATCACTCCTCAGTAGATCTCTTTGGGGCTGGTTTTATAAATTTATATTATGTATTTGTTTTGTTTGTAATATATTTTATTACGGGTAGTTCAAATATTAAAAGTAGCTTATACCTATTTGTATACAGATGTAGGTACAGATAAAACTTTGTGCTTCTAATTGATATCATAGTATTTAGGCCTACTTTTTACTAACTTAAGTGAGTACTTTTAGTTAATTTAGTATTTGTTTATTATAGCACGAGTTTATTATTGAAAAAGTTTTAATCAATCCTGAACTATCACATTATTATTATTTATGTTTATTTTATATACCAACGAATATAGTAGACGAAACCGCGGGCCTAAAATGTATGACCTAATAATGCTTATGTATGAAATCGTTAAATGTGTTACCAAAGTGATTAATCACGTCTCGTCCACATCTGCTGAGTTGCGAAACTTTGCGCTTGTTTGTGGGATTCCCGAGACCGAAACTTAGGAAGTTTATTTCGTAATTTCGACAAGTAGCTACTTAGTACAATTGCTTTAACACATGTAGGATAAGATGAAAATGTTTTGGTCTATGGTTATGACTAAACGGAAAAAGGAAAAATATAATAAAGAACATAAGCAAACAAATATTGTCAATAATATATAAATTACATCTGTTTAATAACTAAAAACAGATATTTAATAATTTAAAAATTTGAATATTTTCGTGGAGTGAAGAAACTACGAGCGACGAGAGAAAGGCAGCATAGATATAGTATGACACCTTTTGGTACGTTGTAGGTACCTAGGTAAATCCTCAAGGGTATCAGTTGTTGTTATCGTAAGATTAAGATGGATATATTCTGTCTGTTATTCATTATTTATACTTGTATATGTCTTTACTAGCATTTAAGAGTAGATATATACTTACCGGATACGTAAGCTTGTGTAGATTGGTATAGAACAAAGAGTTGAACTTTCACAAAGTTACCTCAAGTTGTGCGACGTGCGATTTTGTTTATTCTTTCGGGATAACAAGTTACCATTGTTTGTGATCCCATAGCTTTGTGTTAGGTAAGAAAAAATTCAAATAAACAATAGCTTATGTGAAAACTTAGTTAGGCTTAATATGTGAAAATATTGTAGTATACCATTAAATATTAAATTATGAAAATTCTTTTCTTTCTTTCTCATTTCCTTATATAACCTATTTAATATAATTTATATATTTATGCAATTACAATAAAAAATAGCCGCAATTTACCCAAAGACATAGAAAATTATTACTTTAAAAAGTTATTTATAAATTGAGAAATATATCGCGTACCTACTTGTTAGTTTCATAAAAAATTAGAACCTATATACTTATGTACCTAAGTGTAATTTTTTTATTATACACAGAGATTTATAAGTTTTAATACTGTATATTAAATTATTTTTTGTGGGTATATAAAAACAAAGTAAGTTCTTTTTATCATCTGTGGATAATCAAATAGAGTCTATTATTTAACTATTTTATTATCACAATCAATCTTCAAATGCTACCTATATACGTTGAAGAAATCAAGGGTACCTAATTCATATAACTAATAAAATTATTTATATTTAATAATAATTTGTTTCGATGTTTCAAATATTTTTTCTTTTGTTTTCCTCTTCCAAGTCTCAGGTAAGATAATGTATATATGTATATGGATCTAGTAAAGCGGTACAGAACCCATTTTATAATACTCTCATGGGTATTTCAAAAAGCCCTTTCTACTTTCTTAGTGGATGCTACAAATATCACTCAGAAACTTTTGTCCTTTTAAGTTAATAAAATTACGATGATGTTACCAAAAAGATGATTTAGGTGCTTTAGGGATACAGGGGACTTTTAAATTAGGCATTCTTAGTTTGAAGAGTTAGTAGGGCGTAAGGTATATTAGTATTCTTTTAGGTACGTATATCTCTATGTATATTTATTTAGGTAAAATTTCATGCACCTACACTCAGTTTTAACGGAAAAGTCTCTGTATGTATATACCTAACCTATGTTCGTAGTACACGTAATTCTCGCTTCGATAAATAGTTATCCCTAGCGTTTAATTCAGTTAAGCTTATATCGTTGCCCAATAATTCGCATGATTGACTTTAGTTAAATTTAGTCTGTCCCTTACTGTTGGTACAGTCAGCTTGATATACGATTATAGTGTCTAGAGTATTGACTTTACAATAGAGATTAAATTCTATGTGATGTTAAGCTATCTGGATAGCTGTACGTAATATCCATCCAAAGACAATATCTTTGCAAAATAAATTACAATTAAGATCCTATCATTATTTTTGCTCTTTATGTAGACAATCGGTATTTTTGTACGGAAAACAATCGTATTTTATTTCGTAGATTTACTAATACATTTTTTAGTAACAGTACTTGCTATAATAATCTGATAACTATAGATTCTAAAGGTAATAAAACTTTACTGGTATCGTTATTGACCACATTGCTACATTTGTGAAGGTTTTTAAGCATCCATATTATTGTGTATCTACTTGTTTAAGAGGCTCTTGACAGTCAGTAAAATTTACTAAAAATGAAAAGAAATTTATTAACGACCTACATAAAATTGCTATAAAACACTACACATCCTCATATTAAGTAAGGCGGTATACTAAACCACAAGATAACCAATGGGGTCGAAAATTTACGAATTTAACTAACCACAACTATTGAGTGTTACGCTTACTATTTTTATTTATGTGTTTAAGTTGAAGTAGCACTATTCATGTTGCAATGTGTAAGTTTTTGAAAGGTGCTTCATACTTTTTATCCGTACATTTTCTCTTTATGGTATATTTGTATCTGTCATTCACGGTTTATACTCTTGCCATAAAAGTCAGATGGCAGCCACAAAAAACGCTGTTTTATCATTCGCTTTACACCCTTTAGCCGATTTGTAGCGACGCGTTCTGATATTTATTTATTACTTTTTTTTTACACAGTCTCTTGGTTTATCGCTGGTTTTATTATCATTTAGCAAAATATTTACTTATTTAGACTTTAATCTATAAAATATATTTATATCTGATGTCGAATATAATAATAAAAGGCACACTCTACCAATAGGTAATGTGTCATGAGTAATTTAGGCATTGTATCAATCAAAGGGTAATTAGAATATACTTTAAATAAAGAAATCAACTTAACAATTCAAGAGTCCACATATTCCATGTATAATTACTGCTTTTTAAAATCTTTCAGATTCGTCAAACGTAGGTATATCTAATTATTACAACTTAACAGAAAAAAGGAGATTATCACAAAATACAAAGTAACGTACATATTTAAATAGTGGTAGTACTTATCTTTTATGCAAACCATAAATTTCATTAGAACCGTCGAATTTTGAATTCCGCCGACGGACTCAACGGCATGAAAATAAAATCAAGTGTGAACTTTGCATTCAGGAGAGCCCCAAATTTACATTTTACGTAGGCTACTCTTTATTTAAACTACGTGGAAAATAATGTAAATCACATTTTACGAAATCCCATTGGTTCTACATGGAAAAACCAAGTGGTTGGATTTACACATATTAAGATTTCGTTTATTTACAATTCTGTATTTTATTGTTTATACACAGATTTTTTATTGCTTTAGCTATTACTAATATTTCCACTCAGGTTTCAGTATCGTGTGTGATACAAAATATTCTCAAGAGTGATGCAATTATTAAAAAACTGGTCTGAGACCATAGATGTCGCATAGGTACATACGATATGGCCATAGGGCGACCAATCCGCGTGAAAAATTCACTTCGGTCGGTAGTCATGTTTTATTAAAGCTCGGCGCAGTGCGGCTCGTTCAAATATTTAGTAACGACCATTGAGACAGCGTTACCTTCGCACATAGGTACCTACTATGACTCGTCCGATGATATTTTCTTCTGTGACATCCGGGTGTATAAAATTATGATTTCCATTCTACATAGAAGCACTTGCGAGATTGAGACCCTGGTATAGAATTGTAATTTACCTTATTTTTTCTTAATTTTCTCTAGTTCAGTATCATTAAGGCTATGTATGTATACCATTTCGAGAAATAGACGAGCCAATGTGATGATTATAAAGTGCTTGTTGTCTCTGGCAGGGTTGTTGTTAATTCGGGTAAAATTATTCTATAGAGACGTAGTATAATAAAGAACTGATGGCTATACAAAATAAATGATAAATACAATACAAACGCCGTATAATATTAAGATTATCTGATAATAGATATTGTATTTGAACAATTCTTTGGTGATTTTACTTCTATATAAGACATGTATATTCAAATGTCTGTGTATAGGTACTAACGGCGTTATTAAAAAATATTAATTTTATACAAGTATTAATTTATTTCATTAGTTACTAACAGGGTATAATGAATTAATAACAAATGTTCGATTTATTATCTATTATTATTTTGTCAAATACAAATATGCTAGTATGTCTTCATTTGTTGGAATATATATTACTTTCTTGTATATTTTGTGGGTACAATTTCAAATACAAAGTCACGTATTCGCTTTGGGTAGTTGGCAAGGCCCCAGTATTGGAGAGTAGAAGGAAGCTCAATTTCAGCTCACACTGGGAGGGACCTCGAGTGGCAATATATTTGCAAAAGAGAGTGCTCTTGCAAAAAAAAATAAACCTATCCGTTTCAACCTGACTACTTCGAACTTACTTAATTATAAGGTAAAGTAAAGTCTCGGATTACAAAACGAGCGATTTTGTAATAATAATGTCCGCTTGTTTGTATATTGTCCGCCTATTGTCTTTTTTTTTTAGAAATAATGTTTCTACCAATAAGCAAAATACAAAGATCTAGAGATAATCGTCGAGTATAAATGTAGTTACATTTATCAATAATATCAGATATTTTATGATTAATTTTATTTACCGACAAAGAAATGGTGCTTAACGAAAAAAAAATTGGACGAAGTCAGGTCACTTAGCCCGTCGTCGTTAGTAGTGAATTTATAAGGAACTTTGCTTTGTTTGGATGATATGACACAGTGTTAATAATAAAGTTCATATTCCTATTACTAGCAACACTTATGATCATAAGATTGCAGCACACTGCTATTTACATAAAAAGAAATGAGGTGACGACATTTGTCTAGCCTATATCAATTAAAATATAATCTCTGTACGGAAATTTCGGTGTCCAGATTAGAATTTATTATTAAGGAGAATAAGACGCGGTAGTAAACCACTATACCACAATGTTACTGACATAACATTTCTCATTAATCAATATATAGGATTAAATGATTAATTTGAAATTAATTGAGTGTAAATCAATACCTCTAAATAATCACATCCGCAATAATTGGAATCTCGGTACATAGAGCGACTGACAACAAGCTCCCGAGTATCCAATTAAAATCTGATTTACAGTATATAAATTAAGTTGTTTTAAAGGTATTGATCTGAAGTATTTAGACACATCCGCTATATGTATTCGTGGATATGGTTATTCATAAACTTACATAATTAAAAAGTGACTTTCAAAGTCACCTTTTATGTAGGAGTAATTTGGTAACAAACATGTTTAGAATAATTATTTATAGACACTTACATACATACACACTACATTTACTTGGTTTCGGTCCGTAAGTGTGCAAAAAACCAGCAAAAGCTGAGAGAGTGAGACGAGAAGAAAAACACCTGAACAATTAACACAGCGCTAATTCTACGGTAAGCTTGTATTATTGATATATGTAATGCCGATAATAACGGCTGATATAAATACAATGCCGGAATACATCAATGCACGGTTTTGATGTTTCCTATACAGGCGAGTCACACAAAATGCTACCACCAGTAAAATTAAATGTTACCTTTGTTGATTTCAGACTTTCAGTTGTGATTTATCGATTACGGTTGATCGGACTATTGTAAGCTGTAATAGGATTTATTATTGTTATCGCGTTATACGTACTGGCTCACTACATATTACATTTATGTACGTAAAATACCATGTCAGGGTTCTGTTACTTTTCTCTGGTATCCTCTCTATTGTTACATACTATATTTGCGAAAAGTAACTTTTACAGAA